TGTCCAGCACTGGAAGGGTCTGCCCGGGGAGGTGGAGGAATCCCCACCCCTGGACGTGTTTAAGGAAGGACTGGACGTGGCACTCGGTGCTCTGGGCTGGGTGACAAAGTGATGTTCGGTCATAGCTTGGACTCGACGATCCTAGAGGTCTTTTCCAACCTGATTCTGTGATTCTTCCCCCGGCGACGGGTGGCGTGCACCGGGCTCCTGCCGCAGGTGGCATTCCGGCCGCTGGCACGTCTGTGGCGGTGCTTTTGGGAGGTTATTGCTGCTTTTCTGTTCATTGTAAGCATATTTCTAGCAACAATTCGAAATTACATCTTTCTATGTTTTTAAATACAAAGTATTCCCAGTCTTTCCTTATGGGCACTATTCTTTAAAGTCCTCCTGTGTATTGTCTGGTTTTCTCCACTTGACTCTACAACAGTTCTCTATCGAATCGGGGTGATAAGCCTTGTTTATTTGTAAATGATTTGGCGTTTGTTTTTGTTTTTTTTTTTTGTTTGTTTGTTTGTTGGTTTGTTTTTTTTCCAAATATTTCCATTTTATTCACTTTTTCAGAAGTGACCAGTCAGCTGTCCTTGCTTCAGCTGTAGTTAATGAGGGAGATTGTCCTCTCTTGTGGTAGCTGCGGGGGTCTTTACTTCAGGTGTCTGTGATTTGTTGTGACTAAAGGCAATGTCTCTGGGCCTCTACAGTGGCACTGTGCGACTTGCAAGCTCGAGAGGCCAAAATTTAATACTAAACAATGAACCTGATGAAGCATAAACCAGGGTAGAGGTGTCTGATTTTAAGGCTTTCCCCCAAAACCTGGGTGAGGTGGCAGGTATGCAAAGCTGGCACATTCAGGTGTACTGTGGGGGCCCTGCTTAAGGGATGACAGAAGCAAGGGCATGTCGTGGTAGGACAGGGCTAGATTGGATATTAGGAAGGAATTCTTCCCTTTGAGGGTACTGAGGCCCTGGCACAGGTTGCCCATGCCCAGAGAAGCTGTGGTTGCTCCATCCCTGGAATTGTTCAAGGCCAGGTTGGATGGGGCTTGGAGCAACCTGGTCTAGTGGAAGATATCCCTACCCATGGCAGGGAATGGAATAAGATGATTTTTAAGGTCCCTTCCAACCCAAACTGTTCTAGAATTCTATGCTGTCTCTCTCCTCATGTCTCTGCCCACTGAAAATTGATTCTGTGTAGGTGTGATTAGAATTGTTGAGAAGAGCTGCTACTGTTTGATGTCTGCTGTTGCCACCTGGAGAACTCTTGGAATGCTGTCAGCAGCTCAGGGGATGTGCTCATCTGCTCTCCTCAGCACCCTGCCCTCAGCAGTACCACGAAGGTGTTGTGCATACTGATGGAGTTTTGTTAAGCACAGACAGGACCAAAGAGAGACAAAACATTATCAGAATAGGGATAGGATTTTTTTTTCTGTCTATTTTCTGTATGAGTGTGATTTAAAACACAGCAGAACTCCCAAGGGCAGGCTTTAATCCCTGGATGGTGTTTGAAGTGCTCTAGAAGGGGATAGAAGCTTCTTAGGGAAATGAAAACAGAGCTGAGCCTACATTTCTAAAGTCTCTCTTGCTCCCCTTTTGTTGATTGCTAAATGATGCCATATTAATCTTTGAGGAGATGTTGGATGGAAGGATCCATCTTCAATACTTGAGGCAGTGTATAGGTTTTGGAAAGAGGAAATGGTGTTAATACCTCCACAGGGTGAAACCAAAGTTTGTGTCCTCAGGATGAGTTTAACCATTTCTGTGCCAGAGAGCTGCAGTTTCATGGAGGAGCCACTGAAATAAAGTCTGGCTTTTTGACTGTGGTTCCATGGTAACTTTTTATTCCCTGTTTTTGCCTTTAATGTGAACCCTTCTTGCTTCACCAATATGTGAAATTTCTATGTGTGTGCACATGTACATGTTTTTGTGACTTAAAAGGTGTGATTTTTAACTAAAATGATGTACTGCTACTGTCAAGCTGTTCAACTTATTTTCATAATTTAAGACATAACTTAAGAGGAATTTTTAAGGAGTTCCTTTATTTGGCAGATATTTGGCTTACAAGTTCGTGAAGGTGACCATTGTTTTCCTCACCTGTAACTGCATGCTCATGGTAATTTTTTTAACTTCTTTGCTTTGTGGGCTTCTGCTTTTTCTGCAGCTGGGTGGAGAAGCAGCCTTGTTCGTGCATTGCCATGGGTGACCACTGCTTTCCTGTACTCCCCTAGCTGCTGAAGCAACCAGGATTTGGTGATGGAGGCTTTGCTGGAAGGAATGCAGAGAAATGAGCAGGGGAGGTGTGTATGCAACTGTACACAGCAGTCATTCAAAAGGATTTCAGTATTAACCTTCCCTCCTATTCAGAATAAATCCTCAGGTATCGGTGTGCAGTGGCCTTCACCTGGTGCAGAAGCAAAGTCACTGCCTGAGCTGGCTTTGCAATAAGCCCTGGACAGGTATTATGTTAGCAATTTAGTTTTACATCTTCCTGAAAACCTTCCACCTTGTTTTTTTTTGGTTTTTTTTTCTGGTTGTTTTAAACCCTTCTTGTGAATAAATATTTATTTTGTAGCAGCCGTGCAAGGTTAATGAGATGTGACTTTGTTATCTGTTTTTATTGAAAACATCTGATTATTTCCTGCTCATGTTGAAACTGCAGAGTCCCATTCAGCTCTGAGGAATCCTTAATGCTCTGTCTGAGGTGAAAGGATGTAGACTTTTCGATCCCCAAGAGAGACTGTAGTGACAATAATGGAACAAAATGTTTTCTGTGTTAAACAGGCGTGAAGCAAAAGTCACTGATGCTGTTTTCCCAGTCATCCTTGAGAATGCGACTCAGATTTATTTGATACTGTATCTTCTTCAGAGAACTGGTTGCAAAAATCAAGTTTAGACTTAGCTACATGTTAGCAGATGCTGTGAAGGAAATGTTCCTGCTCTGCATAATAGCTGCTAATTTTTTGTTAGCTCACAGGACAGGGTGAGCTTCAAATATGACTGATTTTGGCTCCTTTAAGAAGTATTTCTTTCCCTATAGAAAAACTGCCAAGTTTTGCAGTGTGCACACGCACAGGGAGAGCAGAGAAATTTCTATCCCTTAACCTATTGATTTCCATTTCTTTTCAGTTCTCCCTGTTTGACAGGCAAATTAAAGGGGTAAAGATCATTATGGAGTTCACCACCCTCTAGGGCTGTGTCTGGCAAGCCTTAATATTGTCCCTGGCTTAGCAGCTTGGGAAGTTTTAGAGGAGTTACTGGAATTGGCTTCAATAATTACTGCACCAAATTAGAAGTCTGGGCGTTGCTAGGGCACATGTGCTCCCTGATGGATTGCGAGGGTTGGATTCTTCATTATCATGTTGTCATCCAGCCCCCTCTGCTTCGAGGTTTGTCTGCATTTGTGATAAACTTCTGTTTTCAGGAGCTGAAAGCTCGGCTGTAAGATTCCTCTGGTGACTGAAGCTTGGTCTAAAATGCCTCTGCCTGGAGAGCAGTTAAGGCAAATACAAAATATGAATTAAACATGCTTTGGTTTACTTAGATAATGCATAGTCCTGGGGCAAAGGGACGAGTGCCTAAGTGATGTGGCTTAGTGGGCATGGGTGGTATTGGGTCAAAGGCTGCACTTGATGGTCTTGGAGGTCTTTTCCAACCCTAATGATTCCGTGATTCTGTTTCTCTGCAAGCCGATTTGCAAAGAGTTCAAAGCCCTGCATGTGCACAGTTGGTGCCTTGGTGCAAGTCAGTGTGTTCTCTGCCTTTGTTGGTTTGGGACCCGAGACCCTTGTTGGGTGATGCTGCTCTAATTACCTAAGGTCTCCAGGCCTCTTTTCCTCTTACTTTCTTTAGGACCACAGCACTCGGCCGGTAGTTTTTGTTATTGCTCTGTCCCTGCTAATCCTGCAGTCACGACCTTTGGCAGTGGCCTTTAATAGGTCCCTTCCAACGCCAAATATTGCAGACTGCAGGAGTCTGATGTTATTGCATGACAGATGCCATGATGGAAGGTAGGCAATCACGTTACAGAAATTTCCGTATGTTGGGAAGTTGGAGACCAAGCGGCTTCTGTGACCAGCTTGGCCTGAGTGCTCGGCAGATTCTATGAGGCTAGGAGCTCTCCTCTGCCAGGGCTGCTCTGCAGGAAAAACAGAAGGAGGTACCTCCATTTCATACTGTTTTCTGTTTGGAGACAACCAGTGTGTTTTACCTTTTAGAATCAGGAAATTAGGAATAGAATTTACAGAGGGGCCTGTTGGAACAAGATGTCCAGTTCATAATTCCGTCAAAGTCAAATGATCAACTCCTCAAGGATTGGTGGAATTCACAGATTGAATGCTCAGTTTCTAGAGAGAACCCAGAGATGCTGTAGCAGCAATGGACAGCCCAGCAACCTGCAGTCATTGGTAGAAAAAAACCCCAATTTCCTACTGTAAACTACACTAAGATATTGCTGGGAGATTCTCCAAGGGCTGTTTTATGCAGCTCAGGTTTTGTGGTCTTTAATTAAAGGCCTGGGGGAAGTGCAAAAAATTTCTGTATTGGTGGAGAATTATCGGTAAGTGAAATTTTTGCACAAGATGTGAGCTATAAATTGCAGTTGAGCCACAGGATTTTCATTTGCAGGAATGGTGATTTTTATCATATAGGTTATCATTGTTATTATCAATTGTGTTTTCTCAAGACACTTGAAATATTTCTTACCCCGAAAAAGTGAACATGGATTTCAAGACTGAACTGTAAAGTTTGGTTAAAGTCACTACTGGAGTATATTCATGCTTTTGGTTTAGTCATGTGAGTTTTCTGTGGGGATTTCTTTTAATTTCAGTTTGTCCTTTGGACCTGCAGTTAGAAAAGTGGGTACCCTGGGAAAACAAAGGACAAAACTGAGTCACAGGAGCAGTTGAATTAGTATAAGGGAGGTCTTCTGCATTTCAAAGCCCCAATTATTTCTTTCTCCCTCATCATTTGGAATTTGTTTTTTACCTGAGCATAGTAAGATAATGACAGGGCTAGCCTTTCCCTTGGTATGTAGCTTGAAATTGTAATGCATATTTGTGAAGAATTTGATGAAGATACTGATAGAAGTAGCCTTTTTGGCACAAGCCAAACCTGTCAGCTTCATCCCCAAAAATGAAAGCCAGAAACTAGCTCAAATAAAGAGGCCAGAACTGAAGCAGTTCTGGCCCCAGCCTACCAAAGATTTAGGCATAGATTTAATCTGATTCATAGTGAGAGACCCCATTGAAACATCCTAGTACTTACTAACCTAAAGTCTACTTCTACTGCTGTATTTATTTGCTTTTTAACTCTTGGTTCAGGTTGGCCTGTTGCGGCGCCAGGTCGAAGAGGTGGAAAAATCTAAGCAGGACATGGCTAGAGAGTATGAACAACAGCTGAAGACGTTCCAAGAGGAGGTGAGTTGCAAAAAGAGAGGTTTGGTTTTTAGTTCCCACTTGATGTACAATGCAACAGGTGAAATACTTTGCATCGTGGCTTTTGTTTAAATGCTGTGGTTTTAAACCTCCCCGTTCTCTTAGTGTTTATGTGCTTGCAAAAAAAGAGCATTGAACGTAGACAAAGCGATGTTTTTGTGGTTCAGTTGGCCAGTTGTTTGTGCTTCAGAGGAACTTGGTGACGAACAGAGAACTGCTGGAGTAGAAATGTGGAGTAGATGTTTTCATGTGCTGGAGATCTGCAGAAGTTTACTGCAAAAATGACCTGTGTCTGCCCATCCCAGTCACCACAGTGCTGGTTCTGGAGTTGCCGTGGGTACAAGGCAGCAGCAGTTTGCTCTTTCAGCATTTCTGAAATTCAGAAAGGGTGGAGGTATAACTACCTGGCTCGTGTGAGATCAAGAAATAACAGTGGTGTGTGGTCTCATCTTTTTGCCTCTGTTTGAGTCTGATGATGTTGGTAAGGATTTTGTCCTCTCAAGGCACATTAGTCTTAATACACGTAATAAAAACTAAGTATACTCAGAAAATACTGTTTGACGATAATTTCAGAGCTTTCAACTCCCGCTCACCGCAAGGTGGTAGCTGTGCTGCAGGTGGTGTAACAGCATTCCAGGTTTAGGGCTGAACTCTTTGCCTGTCTCCACTTGCTTGCCAGTGGCAGGGAGTTAACTGGCCTGAGCAGCTCGGGGAGCACTGACCTGTTTTCTCTGGAGGGTTGGGCCTGGTTCCTGCTCACTCTAAACCATAAGTGAAATTAATTTAGTAGTCTCTGCTCTGACGACAGAAGGCATCTGTCCTCATTTAAAACACCTCACTGTTCCATATGACTAACAGTCTTCATTCACTGGCTGCTCCCACTGGAACTGTGCATAGGCTGCAAAGCAAAGCTGAGGTACACTGGCAGCTCTGCCTAAATTGCTAAGGCTGAAATACAGAGTGTGTTGTGGCCTAAATTACAGTGTGTGGGTGTTTTACCCACAGAGTATTAATGCTGATGACGTTGAGCTCCAATATTCCTCAGTCTTCTGTTCTTAGTACTGTTTGGGGAAATTATTTCTGTCTCTGTTTACCACCATTTCCAGTGCAATTACAGGTACAGTGTCTAACTCACTGAGACTGTAGAAAGAATAAACCTCTTATCTCCTGATGTGTTTGGCAAAAGATGTTGGTATTAACTTTAAGCCTGTACATCTGTCTGTTCCTGTTGAACACACCGAAGTACTGAATTCGTTATGTCTTGAATCAAATATTTATTCTTCTCGTGGTCCTTCTGTTCATCCATGGGCGTAACTTTCTCCATCAGTAAAATGGGAATGATGCCTTCTCAAATTCCTGTGGCTATTTGGAAACTTTTTATTTAATAGTTGAGTAGAGGGGAGATCATCAGATGGAAAACTCTCTTCCAGTTGCAAGTGATTATTTGCACAGAGGGTCATTTAAATGTCAAGAGTTTTTTCCTCATTCCTACTCCTGATATGACTCCAGCATCCTAGCAGCGGGCGTAGGAGTGATATTTTCTGTTGGCATTCTCCTCTCATTGTGAAATACATGGTGTATCTAAGCAGAAAATGACAGATGAAGTGGTGTTGTTATTATGGGTAATGACAATTCTCAAATCTTCCTTCTCCCAGTAAGTGGGAGAGTTCCAGTTCCCACCTGTGCTGCACAAGTGTATTTTATCCAGCCAGGAATCTGTCGCTGTGTGTGGTGTGGTGGGTGTGCTCCTCTGTGGGAGGAGATCAGCCACAGGTCCTGCCGGCTCTTCCTGTGGCTGGGAGCCACCTGTAGAGAGAGGGATGTGCTCTTGCTGCATTGACAGCTACATGTTAACCTCCATCTTATCATTTTAGTCATGTTTTAATCGTGGTAAGACAGAGGTTTAATTAAAGCTGCCGATGTCACGACTTCAGTGGCATCTTGCTCCTCTCACACAGCTCGGCCTGTTTTGCAATGCTACTGGTATAATAGGCTCATTATCCCAATGGAAGCCTTCACTTGTGTGGCCTTGATGAGGGGATTGTTTGTGTGAACCATTCTGTGTGCCTTCTCTCAAAGGGCTCTGTGATTTCTGCCTTGGGGCCTTGAGCAAAGCTGTCTCTCTCACTGTCTCCTCGCAGTTGTCCCGGCTGAGGAGGAGCTATGAGAAGCTGCAGAAGAAAAAAGCAAGAGGAGGCAGAGGAGATGCTAACAAGGGACAAGAAGGAGATGAGTTTGAATTGAGCAGACTGACCAGGAAGCTGGAGGTATGTGATGAAAAAGCAAGTGCTGACCAGTTTGTATGTATTAACTGATTTACTGGTGACTGAGTTGTCAACTAGGAAGAGGATTGTGAATCCTGTTTAAGGAGTACTCTTCATCAACACTCCAGGTGTAGCTCTTCTCAACTGCTTCTGTAATAAAGGCAATTTCCTGCACTGGAGCCTCTGAGTACACAGGATAAACCTTGATGTTGTTCTTAGACTAAATGGAAGGAAGAAGGTGCTGAAAGAATAATAAATTATGTGAATGGAATGAGTTCTGGTGTGGGGAGGTTGTATTCTCACTTTTTTTGAGGAGGAGGGAGCTACATGTCCAACTTCTTCTCAACCCTGTCTTGTCTTTTAATCTTTCTGCTCTGCTGAGCTCAACCCCACTCAGTTTTCTCCCCCTGTACCCCAAAGATGTGGTAACACACACACCTGCCTGACACAGTGCCCAGTTTCTGGGGCAGAGATTAGCAATCAAGTTCTGTACTTCATTCTTGTCATCTCAGTGATTTCAATAGCAGCATGTTCTGGAAGCTGAAGCCAGTCTGAATTGTTAAACCCCTGACAGCAAACCCATGAAACCAACCATGAATCTGTTGGCACTTAACATTTGTAAACAGCAGTAATTGACACTGACGTTTTACCTCGGGAGGGGAGGGAATGCAGCGAGCACAGTGTGTGAGGGTTCTGTGCTGCTGAGCCGGTGCATCAGGTGACTGGCTAATGGTTTCCCCGCTGTGGGGAAAGGTGTGTGAGGATACGGTGGGAGAGAAGGCAAATGTGGATGTGAACTGGAAGGGGATGTGCTGCCCCTGCTGTCCTTGCAGGAGTTCCGACAGAAATCGCTCGAGTGGGAGAAGCAGCGCCTGCGGTACCAGCAGCAGGTGGCATCGCTGGAGGCTCAGCGCAAGGCTCTGGCAGAGCACTCCGAGCTCGTGCAGGTACAATTAACGTGCCCAAAGTTTCTGTTTTGTTTGTGCCAGCGGGTGGGAGGGAGGGAGGGAGGGAGAGGAGGGAGAGGCTGATGAAATCTCCCAGACTTCCATCCAGTTCAGGTTGCTATTGAAGTGACTTTTAATGTCCCAGTGGAATAAGGTTTACTTGTACAAGTGCTGTATGGAAAAAAGATCTGGAGTCTGTCAGCAGAGATTAGATAAACCTTGTGCAGCTCTCCCTGACACCCCTCTGGCTAGTAGAGAAGACAGTAGGATGCATCTTTCCCTGGGAGGCAGAGACCACAGCATATGATACTTTAAAATAGCTGTTACATCATGTTATCTAGTTGAAAGCTGTGTACCTGCCAGCAGCTAAATATGTGCCTTGTGGGTCCAGCTCAGAGGGTGCTGCTGGAAAATATTCTTTCCCTACAACAGAGGCTTTAACAAAGTACTGAACTAACAGCATTTTTCAGCCCCCCCTCCTTTTTTTTTTTTAGCAGTCTCCTAAGGCAAGGCTGCTGTTCCTGCAAGGCTGATGGCTCAGGGAGGTAGTGGTGCTGCAGCAGAGCGAGATGAATTGACCTAGAGCACAGCTGTGAAGTCACACTGACACAATCACAGCAGACACTGATAAGAAGCTCTTGCTGGGGACTTTGCACTTAATGGGCTCCTGAGTTGCTCTTGAGTGGAAGCTCCTGCAAGGAGGGAGTCTGTGATGACAGGACTGAAGCTGGCTCTGACAGGGCCTTTGTGAGAGGCTGACACCAGTAGATCTGCAAATGCAGAGAAAGTCCTTGAGCAGAAGGTCTCGCTGCTCTGCTGTCTGTGTGTCGTTGATGGCTCAATTGTCTGAGCACAGATGTGCCCTTGGAGCGCAGGCTGGGACGCCGGGGCTCAGAGTTGCTCTTCCTGTGGTGCAGCAGAAAACCAGGAATTTGGGGAGGTTTTCCTGAAGTGGCGTAGGTGACTTAGGTACTGTGAACAGACTGCCTGGATCCTCAACTGCCTTGAAAAGCCCAGCATGGAAGGGCTACATTTTTGCCTTTGATGTTTTTGTATGTTTTGTGTGCTTGGTTGTCTTGCTGGCACAAAGTCATGCTGAGATCCATGACCACGGAGTACTTCCCCTCTCTCCTTTAATCTGGCTTCCCCTCATCCCTTGCAGAACAGCTTAGGGAAGCCTGGCATTCTTCTGCAGTTCTGAGCACCTTCTGTAACACCTGCAGCCTTAAAGTCAGCAGGTGAAACCTGGAATTCTGTGCTGGCCTGCATGTTCTGTGGATGAAAATAAGAGACAGCTTAAATGTTTTCTTAATGCAGAAATAAATATTCAGGCAGTCTGGTACTCTGGTTTCTTGGGTGCAGAAAGGCTGTGCTTTACTCTTGCCCCTCCTGATTACCTTTTCTGCCATGACTATTCAAATAATAATGAAAGGCTGTAATCAAAATTATACCATAGTCTTGCAAATGCACAGTTCCTATAGTATTCTAAGTTATGAGGCATTATGTGCCAGGCAATAGACCAAGGTACATGGTGATTCTCAAGCTGGCAGGAATTGCTACTCTTAGAAATTAGGAGTATAAGACTACTCAAATATTTTGTTTCAGCCTTTAAAAATTCAAAGGTTCTATATGAAAAGGGAATATATGAAATGAATGTTCGTAGAAGCTTATGTGAGAGCTGGCTTGTTAAATTTCACCAGCTAGCTGTGTGGAAAGAAATGCTATGAAATAAGGTATTGTGCCTATAAATAATAGAGCATGTATTGTCTGCTAGTCATAGGTTCCTTGTAACTTTTTTGTCTACATTAAAACAATGAAACATTCAAAGTGAACATTCTCCCAGGCTGCTGGAACCACGTATTTAGTGCAGAGAGCAGAGCAAATTGGCTGTTACCCAGTTTGGTTTTGGGGCTGTTTGGTGGTTGTGGGTTTTCCATTGTGCACCCAGAGCTGCTTTCTGTCCTGGTGTGGAATTAACAGGGATTAACGGTTGGGTAACCTCTGGTTTGTGCATGGTACTTACAAACCTTCTCACCTGCAGCCGTTTGTCCTGGTCTAGCCTTGGGTTCATGAACCAAAAACAGCAGGTGGCTTTGTTCTTAGTTCATACTCGTGCAGCTGGAGTGCTTTGAGATCCTCATTTCTCAGATTCTCTTTGAACCCCTTTTGGAGTCAGAGGGCCCCTTCTTTTTTCGTTTTCTTGTTTTTATTCTGTTTGCCTTCAGAAGTGTTACCCACGGTGTAACCCTGGGGCAGCGCTTTCCCTGCTTCCCTGGAAGGTCACGTTGCGTACTTCAGAATGTGGCTCAGTACACCAAGAAATCAGTAGTTGTGTTGAATGTGGTTTGCTACGCTGTGTTTCCTGTGATTTACCTTTAATGCACACCAACTGCTGTTGGCAGACCCAGCTTGCCAATCGGAAGCAGATCCTGGACTCGGTGGAGCTGGCCAGCCGCTCGGAAATCCAGCACTTAACCAGCAAGCTGGAGAGGGCCAATGACACCATCAGTGCCAACGAGCTGGAGGTGGAGAGGCTGAACATGAGAGTGGATGACCTGAGCGAGAACAACCGCCAGATTCTGGCAGATCAGCAGAGAGTGCAAGAGGAATTAAGGCAGTCCAAGAAAATGGTAGAGGTCAGTGGAGGAGCTGTTATGAAACTGGGTCTAAAGCAGTGCTGGTGGGAAGTAGTGGGAAGGCTTTTAATCCCAGAGCTTTCGTCTCTTTCTAGAGCCTTTGTAAAGTTCCTGATTGGCCTCAAAACTGATCTTGTACCCCTGTGCTGCTCTGCAGTATTTCCAAAGGTCCTAAAAAATTACAGCAAACAGATTTGGTCCACCTTGCAACAGTCATTCCTTCTCCCTCCTGTGCAGGTGCTGCAGGATGAGAAGAGGGAACTGAAAGCCACCTTGCAGTCTCAAGAGGATTTCATTGACAGCTCCAAGCTGCAGCAGGAACAGTTACAGAAAGAGCTGGCCAGGATGACTGAAACTCTTCACACAAAGGAATTCCTCATCAGGTAGCATCTGGACCTCACTGGTACTTAGGCTCTTGAATCCAGATCTACATTCCGGGTTCTCCCTGGAGTGAGGACAGTAGCAGCATTTTCACGCAGCTGGATCTGTGTTGGTTGTGTCTAGAGTGGTGTGCTGTAGTTTCTCACAAGTGCTGCCTTGCAGTGTTTGCCAAATTACATTGCTCTTGAAATCAGCTGATGATCAGTGAAGAGTGTGGAAGGAACCCGATTTCCCCTCAACTGGGTTTCTGGAGGCAGCACAGGGCTTTTGAAGTTGTTTTCCTCAGGCATTTTCAGTCAAGTGCTGGAGGCTGTTCGGGGTTGATAACGTGCTTATTAACATAACTGAAAGTTCTCTCTGATTTAATGATGTCAGACTGGGGCCTTGGTGAGGTAACTACATCTGTGACAAAATCATCTTGGCCTCCCCCTTCTGCACTGGCAACGTGCAGAAGCTGTCGGGTTCTGGTGGCTGTGTCAGAAGGCTTGGGTGTTGCTCACCTACCAACCAGACTGTGTCTGTCAGGGAGGCCAACATCAAACTAAAATGTAGTCTTTTTCAGTCAGCATGAACTCAGGCAGGGGCTGTCACCCAGCTGTGTGTTTGCTTCCTCACCTGCTGCTGGGCTCTGTATTTTTCAGAGAATTCCAAGAAAACAGTGGTCGTGTTCCCTGTATCAGCAAACTCAGATGTGATGTTTCTGTGCTGAGACTGAAGTTGAGGTTTCTCCTTAGGGCCCTGGAGGAACGCTTGCAAGGGAAGCAGTTGTCCTCTCCAGAGCTGGAGCACGTGCTGCTGCAGCTGGATGCTGCCCAGAAGAAGGAACAGCACTTGCAGTCGGAGGTGACTCGTCTGGAGAACAGGTAGCCCACTGCTTGCTCCCCCTGGAAGTGCAATTAATCTTGAATAATAATACAGCACCTAATTGTATTCATCGAGTTAACCAGTCCCACTGATTTTTGTAGGCTTGTTTTAAATATCAAAGGGCTAAAGAAATCAAGTGCTATTCATTTTGCAGTGTAATAGTGAGACTGTTTTGCTAATTGGTTGGCTGCTTTTCACTGCACACTGTGGGTGTTCTCAGTGTTCCAGCTTGCTTAGGCTGAGCACCTTCCCACTAATAGGTTAAGGAGCCTTTGTTAGGCAGCTGGTAAGAACCAGATCGAGACTTTTCATGAGATAAGAGTTACAAACAGGTCTGCCTGGAGAGATTGTGGACTGCCCATTCCTGGAGGTGTTCAACACCAGGCTGGGTGGGGGTTGGAGCAACAACCAGGTCTCATGGAAGGTGTCCCTGCCCTTGGCAGGGGGATGGAACGAGATGAGCTTTGAGGTCCCTCCCAACCCAAACCATCCTGTGATTCTGTGATTCCTCTCTGAGTTTGTGGTTTTCAGATTCATGTTTGCATGGGATGTTTGTAATCTTAGTATGGTAAAGGAATAAACAAGAAACAGCTATCATCTGTTAGGTCGGCTTCCTGGTCTCTTTTGAAATGATTTTGGAAGGCAAACCCAAAGGATTGGTGAGGAGCTTTGGGTTGAGTTCTGTTTCTATTGCGATGGACATAAGAGACTGCTTAGAAGATCAGAGTTTCTCTCTGACCATTTCCCCCTCCTTGGGGTATTCTAATCTGTCCTTTTACTTTTTCACCCAGCCTGGTGTCTTCAAATGCCAGGTGTGTGCAGCTGAGGGAGGAGCTGGGTGAGAATATCAAAGAGCTGCAGTCCATGGTAGACCACCAGACTGAGTCAAAGGCGGAGATTAAAAAGGTAACGTGACTTTGTTCCTGGGGGTTGGGAAGGCACTGGAGGAGTGAGCTGATCCCACGTGTGCCATGTGCACAGGCAGCACAGTTCCAAGGGGACCAAGGGCTGGGGTGCTGTGGAGGCAGGGATGTGCTGAAGGTAAGGAGCACACCTGACTGTAGGAGTTGAGAGGATGCGTTTGCAGGTGTCTGAACTTGGCTTTGTGAGCATCTCCTGGGCCTACCCTGCATCTCACAGTACTTCTGTACACTGTGAAAATACCTGAATTAGTGCTGGAGGGACAAATATGCCAAGAAATTAGGGTCTGGAATCACGAGTTTAAGCCTAATACAGGCTCCCAACAGGATGAAGAGCAGAGAGGGAATGAGTTTGCTGTGATATGTCCTATCACACTAGATACAGGGCTTCAAGTGTGTTCTAGTCCCTATGTGAATTAGAGAGTTTGTTTCAGGCTTGGTACCTGGACATGAAGTCAGGGGCTGGGAGGATGGAGCTGCTCACCTGCACGAGGGCCTCACCCCAGTGCTTGAGCACCCAAGGGGAACAAGCCCTCCACAAGGCTTGACTTTAAATAATGGTCTGGATCAGCTGGTGTGAGAGCTTTCACTGCAGCCTGGTAGAGTGGAAACCTCATTGGACTTGAGTGAAAAACATCACTTGTGTGGAAATCCTTCATCCTTTATTCTGAATGTGTAGAGGTGCAGATCTTGCCAGAGATGTGTGCTTGGTTACACATCTAAACAGCCACACAGTAAATGAATCTCCCACAGGCTGCTGGGGAGGAGAGAGAGATTTATGATGGCTGTTTCTATTTTATATACTTGGGAGGCATTGAGGTGACATGGAGATAAATCACCATGTGTACAGTATTTACATGGCTAGGCAGAGATCATCTGGTTCAATTTTCTAAAATGCTTGTAATACTCAGAAAAATCCTGAATGTTCGGGTGGTTAATATTTTTGACTAATGAAATGGAATCCTGGGGAAGAAATTATGCTGCTGTTGTTCTTTTGTGTCACTGAATAAATATACAGTGTGCCTACCAGAATACTGTATGCAGTGCAGGTCTGCCACCTCAAAAAAGGATTGCATAAACCAAGATAAGGTATGGAAAAAGATGACCCAAAGGATGGAGTGTTTTTTATACAAGGAACAGCTGAATGGAATAGGACTTAGCAAACTGGAAAAGAGATGAGATTGAACAGACTAAAAATAAAATCATGCCTGTCATGTGGAAAGTAAATAGGGAATGATTATTGTCTCATAATGCAGAGACTAGTGGTCATCACATGTAGTTATGAAAACAAAGAGATATATTTTTACCCTGTGCATAGCTGGCTGGTGGAAGTTTGCCATGAGTAACTCTAGTTGCTACAAGCTAATATCGATTCAGAAGACTTAGGACAAATTAATTCCTGGAAGAAAAATCTGGCTTGAGCTATTTAAAGTTGCCATCCTTAAATGGTATCTTTAAATATCTCAGGAAGGCAGAGTGGCAAATTGCAAGGTTATATTATCCAAGTGTTGCTGTGCTTCCACAGGGATGGTGGACCTTTGTCTCTGTGGTGTTGGTCACCAAGGTCCAGTGGTGAGTTAAAGAGACCGTAATTTGATGAATTATGGATCTTCCAAAGTACTTCACAGCATGTAACTCCTGTCCTGTCCCAGTTGGTGTGGGAAAGGACTGGGATGAGGTGGCTTTCAATCAAGAAGGACAGACATGCACAGAGGGCTTGTTACATAGAGCCTTTTTTTTCCCAGTACTGAGATGTCACATTGTTGTGTGCAATACTTCGCTTTCTTTGCTGAAACATCTTCTAAAAGCTCGTGGGTGGTGTGTGCATGTCTCCCTCCAGCTGAAAGAGCAGCTCTCTCACGCTGAACAAACACACAGCAGTGAGCTGGAAGGGATGAAAAGGGAGATCTCCAGGCTGACACAGGAGCTGCACCAGCGGGACATCACCATTGCATCGGCAAGTGACTCCACGTCAGACCTGGAACAGCAGCTGAGGGCGGAGGTTGAAAGAGCAGAGAGGAAAGCAGTGGAGCACAGGGTAAAAAAGGCAGAACACTCTCATGCTGTCTCTTTAAGGGATCTGAAGGCTTGGAATACCATCCTGCTTTTTAGTTATGTTCATAGTTTCCTTCTCTCTTTAGCCTTTGAACAAAGACTTTGAGACCTTTCTGATGGAATCTTCTAATTCATGGTGTTCACTGGATCTGTCTTGCTGCTGCTTTTCAAACCAGTAACTGATAGTCCCACAGAATTCTTTGGAATCCCAAAGAATTCTTTGGAATCCCACAGAACTCACGCTAATTAGGCCTGGATGCATGACATCTTTGGAAGCTCAAGAAAATGACTGTGCATGGTTATTTTTATGGCCTTCTCTGTAGAGTCCCTGCACAGCTAACAGCCCAGACCTTGCTCTGTGCTTGAATTTGAGGGTGGAAAATGCTTGGAGGGTGTCGTGGGTATGTGCTCTCTTCTTTTTCTAAGCTTGTTGTTTACCCCTGTCTCCTCAGGTAGTTCTGGTCCAGCTGGAAACCTTGAGGTTGGAAAACCGTCATCTCTCAGAGAAGCTGGAAAAAACCAAGTGTGGTGTGCTGGAGGTATGCATTGAGAACCAGGAAATGGGAAGGGGCTGCTGGTGTATGTTCCCACCCTGGAGCAGTCAGAGTCTTTGCCCAGGCCTCTCAAAATGTGTGGTAGAGTTCAGAGAACTTAAAACCCGAGCAAAAGGGGCAATTTGTGAGGAAAGAAGGTGCAGAAATAATGAGTGTTTGTTCAGCCAGAGAGTGGTGAGAAGAACTGCAGGAACAGCCCCTGGCTTGTAGTATGTCCTTTTGACCTGTCCCAGAGCTGTAACTGCTCTGGTCCTTGAAATAACTGGGGAGAGAACATGTTCTCCCCTGGTGAGGAGCTGTTCAGCCGGGCTGGCCCTGGCAGTCCAAGGGCAGATTGCAGCCTGGGAATATGGGCTGGATGCCTTGGGATAGTGCACCAAGAAGGGGCCCTGTGGTGGGCTGCTGCTGCTGTGGCACTCCTGAGATTTGGTGAGGCCCTCTTGGCCAGAGGGGAGAAGGGGAACCTGCATGGAGAAGGTGCAGCCTTGACAGGAATAATACCTTGGAGTTGGTTCATTTTAGTGGCTGCAATAAGGAAGAAATGGTTGGTTTACAAGTTCTGTCTCACCTAAAGCAGAATGGATGCTTCCCAGGGGGCAAGGACTGGATTCAGACAGCTGACAACCTAATGGGAATATAGCAGAGCTTTTATCCTGTCAGATCTGTGGGAAGGAAATACTTTGCTCTACTATTAGTTTGGGGTGATTGTCAAATGTGCCAAGTTCTTGGGAGGATGTTGAACAGAAGCTTGTGGCTGTTGAGATGGAGAAAAAGCAGAGCTTTCCAGAGGGCTGATATGAAACCAAATAACCTGAGGTCCATTACTTCTGCTTGAAAAGTTCCTGGTGGCTTTTGCCTGTGTGACTTCCCAAAAACTTGGTAGCAGGGTGCAAAGTAAGAAATCTGCTTTAAAAAAAAACAAATCTCCATAGACCCATGAAACAGGAGCTGCTGATCTTGGCCAGGTGGTCCTAATGCACATTTGGAAAGTCCTTAGATACAGCAGTGATAACAATGAATGAAGCATCTAAATTTAGTAGAACTGGCAAAAAGGAAGTGGGAAGAAACAAGTTGTTCAGAGTTTCAAAAAGAAAGGCCAGGTTGAAATACAGGTGAACTATTCTTGGTCCTTATTTTCCTGTTTTCGAAAGCATTCAGTGCTGAGAGACTTACTTTCCCAGGTGGATCAGCACAACCTGTCTGGATGCAGACCCAGTGAGGCATATATAACTGATTTTCCCTCAGGAATGCCTGGAAAGCTTTGCCACTCAAAATCGAGGTTAGAGGATGGCCCTTAAGGAATCTCTTGCTGGCCTTTGCTCTGGGTCTGACTGTGGTGTCCTGCAAACCAGAACTTTTGACTTCAACCCTTCTCGGTCTGTTAGGGAAAAGATGTGACCCTGAGAGCCCTCAGGGAAGACTGTGCTGTCGAGCTGCACAGGCTGAAGTCTGAGAACCAGCAGCTGCGGAAGGACCTTGCGGAGATCAGGGCGAAGCTGGAGGTCAGTGCGCGGCTCTGCCCGGATGAACCCCAGGGCACTGCCCAGCAGGAGCCAGGCAAAGAGCCCCAGGCCAGGGCTGTGCAGCACAGGTGAGTGTGGCACGACCCCGAGCGTGGAGGAGAGCAGAGGGTGTGGGGATGTGTGGGTTTTAACGACGTGCTGTGTGTGTAGCGTCTCTCTCCAGCACATCGTGCGTCTGGGAGAACACAAGGACTGTTTGGGAATCTGCCTTTGTGCTTTCAGCAGTGCAATAGCTTCGAGTCCCAGCTGGTTTGTGTTCTGCAGAGCCAGCAGTGTTTGTCTTTTGTCTGCCTTTGCCTCTCTCTCTGATTGAGCAGCAGTCTGTGCTTCTTTTGGTGACAGGATTAGATGTGGCCCAGGCAGCTGCGCTCCTTTCTGTTGCAGTTTTAGGATGTACAGGCTGTAGTTTTTGGTATCTACAGTAGCAGAAGAGGGAGAGAGAATTCCCTAGGGACTGGATGTGCATCTGGAAGTGCTGTGGAAAAAAGTTTGGATTGCCAGGGCTGTTAGTAACATCTCTGTTAATTGTTACCTCTGTGTGAGTTTTTGCTGGAGTTCAACTGCTAAGAGGCAAACTCAGTTCTGTGCTCAAACCTGCCTTCCAGGACAGCTCGGGAAGCACAGCACATGCAGGATGAACAAGCAGCCAGGATACATCTCCAGCCTGATGGGACTGCTCAGCATCATCATGGGAAGCCCCAGAAATGTGGGGCTGCTGAAACGGGACCTGTGCCCCCTGAGATGGGTGAGCCACCCTCCCAGACCAGCAGGAAGAACTGCCAGGAGTCACCTGCCTTGCTGGGAGCAGAGCCTTTGCTCCATGTGGTGGATGGAAACAAAGATTTTGCAGATGAAGCATCCAAGCAACCTGTCTCGAATCATCAGAGAGAATCTGTGCCTTTGGTAAGCAGTTGTACAGGAGCTGGTTGCTATTCAACAGCTGAAAATAGACCTGGGATCTCATCTGGCAAAAGGAGACAGGTTTTTGACTGCATGACTTGGCTGTGTGGTGTGCATAAAACAGACATTAAACAGGGAGGGACAACCACTGCTGGATGGTTACAGTTGGCCAGTGGCATCCATATGGTGGCTCCTCAGAACTCCTTGGGGAAAGGCTTTGTGTTTGTATTGTTGCTCAGCTAATTCCAGGAGCATGTGGTTCTCTCCATGCTGGTGCTGTACCTCAGTGTGTACCACGACCTGCTCGTGTCCCCTCTGAGTTCTGCCTCAGCCTTTGGCCTGCTCTGTAGCAGTGGCTCAGAGTGGATGTGGAGTGCTGAGTGTTTCAATGTTTCACAGTCTCTGAGTGACTGGTTGCTGCACATCTGTAAAGCACAGGGTGAGTTTGACCCCTCTGAGTGGGGCTGCAGCAGTCAGCACACTGAACTTAAAGTTGCTTATCCTAGCTGATGGGAAAGTCTGAAATCCCTGCTTCACTGCACAAGGGGAGGCTGCTATTTTCCCCAGTTGCTGATCACACTTTTTTAGTAGGGAGCAGAGTTGGCAGTTTCTCTGTCCTTTTAGCTCAGTTGCTGGAGCACTTGCCCAAGATACAGGAAATTTGGACTGAATCACTTCTTCCTGTAGTAATTCAGGGAGGGGAGAATGCTGAGTACTGGTCCTTGCTCCAGATGTTTGCCCTAGCAGTGTTCAGAACATTTTCTCCTCTGTTTGTGTGTTGTTAACAGTGACAACAGCTATTTTTGTTTTGTGGGGAGCCCAGAGAAGAGGCTCTAAGGCTGATGCACAGATAAGTGGAGGCTTGTAAGGTCTGTAGATCTTGATGAGATTTACTTGAAACTTGATTGTTTCAAGACTAGAGTAGTTAGTGGGCATGTCCAAAAAGCAATATTGGGAGCTCAGGGAACTGTAATATTCTAAATGGAAACTCCTCAGGTTGCAGTATTGGAGCTGAAGTGTGAACAGTTCCACTTCAGGGTCTGAGAAGCTCTAGGGCTTGATGTTTAGTAGAAGAGGACATGCTGCTTTTTGTTTTGAGAGGTAGAAATAAGCTTTCTAAGGAAATGCAGATATTTTTCCTGGTGTTGACTGGGACTCCCTGCTCATGGTCAGGTGCAGGGTCTTTAAATCAGTTCATTTAACATCAGGAGAGGAGAAATTCTCGTCAGTAGGCAGTAGTGGGGTGGGAGAGATTTGCCTGTTATCTGCAGCCTTTTTCTGCTTCCCTTTGTTCCTGGCTGTTGATAAAAGACCTGAAAACCACAAGACTCCAGAATCTGGAAATAACCACTAACTTTCTCTTGCCAAGACAATGAGGCAAATTATCTGTAATGGAAAGCAGCCCCTTAGTAACCTTATATATCACATGCCAGCCCCTGTGCAGGAGGCTTCTCTTCATCAACTTGTACATTAAGCCTGGTTTACAATGTTGTTTTTGTAAGTTAATAACTTGTGGTAAGTGATGTGAGGAGCAGGAATAGTTCTTGACTGTAGAGGAAAGAATCTGGTGTAGTTTGTTGACTATTGCTGGCTGGACTGAGGTGCTGTTCCCTGAGCCGTGAGAGGAGTTTGGACTGTACTTGCCTGTGGGATTGTACCAGAAGCCCATTATTTCAGGGAAGAACAGGAAGTATATGAAACACAGCAGTGCTGGCCCAGTCTGGCAGTGCTTTCCCTTCCCTGGAACCCAAACTCTGAGATGGTGCTGCTCACTGGGATTTTCATGGAGATGAGAAGCAGGATGTAAACCTCGAGGTGCACTAACACCCAGGAGAAAACCCTGGGTATGCTGTAGTGACCTTCTTTACCCCTGATTCTTTAGTACTGATTTTTTGGCAATCTTGGCTTGTTGAAAGCAATGACTGTTGGCTGGACATGTTGGCTGTTGGGAGGGACATGACCTGTGATACAGGTGTGAGACCTGAGTGCTTATTGTGCCCAATAAGGTGGAAGTGACCCAAGAGCCCTTCAGGAGCGTGTTCAGTTGTGTGGTTTGCAGATCAGTGGTGTTTCTGGCTGAAACTTGGAATGAAGGAATACCTGATATCCCTTTGTTTCCCTTTAGTGCCCCTTGCCTACAGCTTCTGTTGGATCAATAGCTGCAAGATACCTGGAAGAGGAAGAAGTGAGATCCCAGCACATCCTGGAATGTCTGAACGCTCACATTGAGGAACTGAAAAAAGAGAGTGCAAAGATAGTGAGACGGTTTGAACACCAGGAGTGATGTTTCTTGTGGAATTGGAATGCTGGAATATGTGGTTCCAGACTGTGACTGGGGTGGTGCCTATAAATCACTTGCCATCAGAATTTGAGAGGCCGTGTCTCCTACTTGGAGCTGAATCAGCAGGATGGGAGCTGAGGGAAAGGAACTCTCTAACATGTTTGTTCTGATGAAAGGTGTTACACCACAAATATTTTAGTCAGCTTGGTAGGTCAGAGACCTGCATCAGAGCTCACAAAGACTTTGGTGTTTTTAAGAAGCAAATCACTTGCTAATTTTTATGTAAAGTATTTAAAGTATATTTTATACATGTAAAAACACTGAAATAAACAGAATGACAAACACCTTTTTTTCTTGTTCATGCAAATGCACAAAGTGAATCTCTGGTGGCTTATCTTGCCTTCTCATCTGGAACTTGGATCAACACCTTTTCCATCACAGCATAGCTGTGTTCTTCAAGGAACAAGGAATATAATTCCTCTTTCCTTTAGGCTACCTTCATTTTCTCCAGTTAATTTGCCCTTAGTGGAATTTCTTAGTATTTCCTGGTTCATGCAACTTCTGCCCTTTACTGTCTGTGTGGTATCTGGTGTCTTTATCTTGCCATGCACGGTGCTTGAAGTGCTGCAAAATAGCTGAGGAATTCTGATTGTGGCTGAATTCTGGTTGTGGTCATGGCTCTTGGAAAAGAGAGTAGTTGGAATGGGCAATGACACTGGATGGGAGGAGAACCCACAAACAGGTGAGGTTCATCCACAGAGCAGCTGCTGTGTGAGCTGGTGTCAGCCTGGTTGGAATCTGGGCTGTCCAGTTGAACTGCTGCATTAAAATGCATCTGTGACCTCTCTTTGGGAATATATTCGGTCTTTCCTTGAGGAAGGTGAGTTATTAATGAGTGAACAGAACTTATTTCTTAAGAACTTGCTTTCTTCCAGGGGCTCTCTGCAGTTCTCTTGTGTCTGAGCCTGCTCAGCTTTTGTGCGGGCAAACCTTGGGACAGAGGCATCCCTTGTCTGTGTCCATAAGTTTCCTGTTCCCTTCTGTCAACTTCAACTTGTCTTAGAGCAGCTTGATGCTGTCAATAAACAGGAATTCAAAAGCACCACACATGCAAAACCCAAGCATTAGGTGAGGCAGATGAGTCCAGCAAAGGTGATGCCTGGCTGCAGACTGGGACTGCACTTGGTCATGCAACTGCATTCCAGAGTTCAAAGACCTTTGAATCCAAAAGTCCTTTTATTTTGGCTTTCTTCTGGAGTTCTTTGCACAGGATAAAACCTTCAAATCCCTTCTGGATTCTCCTTGTGCAGCCTTTGTAATGAACTGCCCACAACTGGCTCTTCAGAGCTGTCCACAGGTAAGTGTTTTTGGAACATCCACCTTGTCCATCCAGATCTCAAATAAGGACATGTTGGCCATGGGGCATTTGGATAAAAACTGAACAGCAAAATAGAACAAACTGTTTCCTTTTTGCAGATGAACCTCTAGGTGCACCCAGTGTGTGATATGCCAGAACCCTTAGGGATTCCTCAAGTCCTTAAGGATGCCAGCAATTTCATTTTTTAAATGATACCTCCCAAATAGCACTATATTTCCTGAGGATTTGTTAAGTTAGTTACCAAGTGTTGCATTGTGCAGTGTTTTCAGAAGTTTAGAAGGCATTTTGCCTCATTACTGGTGTTCTCTTCCATATTCCTTTCCTTGAGGTACACTGGCAGTTCATGCTGGCAGAAGGGAAGAGCAAGCCTGAAGATGATCCATTTGTTTAATTAGCAGCTATAATCCTACAGTGTTTATCAATTTCTAATACCTGTAATAAGTAACTTTGTTGAGAGAATAGGCTGTAAAACCTTGAACTAATGTGACCTAAAGTAAAATTTAGGGGAACTGCTGAGTTCCTTCTCTGTGCTGGTGTGTGTGCTCTGTCCTTCCCACCTTCTTTCTTTGCAGATGTCCCAAGATAACTGAGAAGTCTGTTCCAGAGCTGTTCTCCTGGTGTTGGAGCCTTGGCTTCGCTGAAGAATGCACATTTTTTATGAGGGGGAGGAGAAGAAGCCGTGTTTATCCCGGAGGGAGATGTCACAGCAAGTGCAGACTTCTGAGGTGCTTTTATCTGGGGCTGCAGGGTTTTTCAGGCCTTTGCAGTGTCAAACCTGCCTTAGAATAATCACCTGGCCCTGGAAGCTTTATAATTAAGGAAGCAGGAGAGAGGTTCTGTGTCTTTGAACTGATGCCTTCGATAGCACTAAAGAATTTCTTGCACATTTGCAGGGCTGAGCCAGATGTTTGTTTTCTGTCTGAGACAAAAGTGTGGAACTTAATTTTCAGTACTTACTTTTGTACATCACCAGAGTGGGAAGCTGTGCAGGCTCTCTCTGTCTTCATTGTGCCAGAAATGTTCTGCTGTGGGTGTGGCAGTACTTTGGGTCACTCTTAACGTTGAGGAGTTAAAGTCTGTCTGTGCCTCTGCATATGTGTGTAATTGCAGGTGCCTGGGTTTCGCAGGGTTGGATGGCAGGGAGAGGGATTACTCCCTGAGATTGTGCTACATAGGGGGCAATACTGTATAAACTGCCCTCTCTATTCCTTTGGAGTAATTTTTTGTTGCCCCTACCATCTGGAGACAGAAATAGAGCATGTGGAGTTAGAGAGAGACCTTGTGAAAGTGAGTCTTTGAGACGAGGAGCAGGGGCCATGCTCACAGCAGTGTCACTAAGCAGAAAGGCTGTGCTGTGTCTGCCAGCTACTCCTGCCTGTTTGTGAGTGAACATCAAGTGTTTGGTTCCACAAAGGGTGTCTGTGATTCAGTATCCTTGACTCTGTTATGTGGAAGAAGTTGTTTTCTGTAGTCCCTAAGCTCTCTGAGATGCCTCCTTATCCTCCCATTGTAAGAAGTGATGTGTTTGACTGGGTCAGCGTGACCTGTGAAATGAAAGCTGCTGCAGTGTGTCCTCCTTGATCTGAAAAGTGGGATCTGAGAAAAAAGGATCCTTCTGCCAGGCACCAAAATAAACCAGGGCTGTCTGTGCTGACAGACAATACTTGCTTTAGCCTTCAAGGTCCTTAGGTAATCAAAAAATCCCCGAGTGTGTCTTGCATCTGTGCTGTTCAGTCTGTGTTGGTGTCCGGGGAGCAGAGCCTGCTGAGCTGCAAGGCTTGTTAGTGTTCCTGCAGGGAGGAGCTGCTGCCACCAGTTTTTGAGGGCAAAGACACTTAGCTGTTTAGGGGAGGACTTAAAACCTACTTTTATGTCACATATGGAGCCTCCTTGTCTCCCAAGTACAAAAAACCCCCAAAGCATTGCTGTACTCCCGGCACCCTGGAGTAAGCCCTGTTAGGTTACATGTTGTGTTTATGCTTGCAAATCGTGTCTGCAGCATCCTGTGTCCTCACAGAGAGTTCTGATACTTGAATCTGGCTCCAGGTAGTCAAGGAGGTCAAACCTGGGTGCTGGGGTAGAGGGAGTAACGTGGGAGTAATCCTCCTGCAGATGGGCAGCCCTGTGCCAGCATGAATAACTCCTGCCACCCAGTCATGGGGGAGGAGAGAGTGTAGGAATAACCCACCTTTCTTGTGTGGAAAATGCAGCAGCTTTGTGAAGAGAATTCATATTGTTGGGTCAAGGAAACAGAGTGCAAAAACATAACAGGTTTATTTTCAATTCAAGCTCAAACATAGTATCATTTGGGTCATGCTAATGCTCACTGACATCTGAATCAATTGTGAAAATGTTGCTCCATCTTAGGACATGCATTTGTGGTGGGATTCACTAGAAGCCCCCCTTTCCTTGTGCATGGGTTTTTTTTTTTACAAGAGTACAGCACCAAATAGTTTTTACATGATAATAATGTCACTCAGCTTGCTATCCCACAGAACCCCATCAGTTTTTAGATGCAATGTTGCGTAGACAGATTGGAGTAAGGAGTGGTTGTTCTCCATTTTACTGTAGTTTTAGTTATGGAAACACCTGTATGCTTGAGATATAGTTACAGGAGAAAAAGTGTTTACAATACTGTAATATAAAAAGGTAAAAATGATTGTATGGTATATACAATTGTATTATTGTATATTGTAAATATTTATTGTATTTAAGAGTCAATGTAAAAAGCAATTTTGCAGTATCACTTAAATCTGTAAGACAATGAAGTGCACAAGGAAACTTCATGTTGTGTCTTCTTCCTAACACTTCTCTCTCTCCTTGGATACACAACTTGACTAAAGATGTACAGAAACTCAGTTTAAATATCCTGAAGTTCCTTGTGCCCAGTGTTGCTGCTCAAAACCAGGGTGCACTTTCTTTGTCGGGCCCCATAACTAGGTGAATTCTTCTTGGAGTAGCCCTTGTAAGACTTTTCTTATGGTCCATAATTTGGAAACCAGTAATCACTCTTGGCTAAAGAGTGACCTATGGCCAGACAGTCAGTTGTTTTCTTCAATATATTTGTCTGGACAGTATTACTGAAACATTGGTGAGCTTTTTATCTCATGTCTTCCACTGCTGCTCCCTTCTTAACAGGATTTTCTGTTTCTTTGACCGTCTTCGAGCCCGTGGTCTTGCAAAAGCCTGCAAGCGTTGTCCTGCCATTTGTTGAAAGAACAGATTTTGCTGAGAGGATGAGTGATCTCCTAAAGCTGTGTTGGCCTGGGGCACGTTGGGAAGGTTGGTTCATGCAGGTGAGTGAAAGAACAAGGAGTGAGTATTACTGGGTCTCAACTTCGTATTTGAGGACGTGTGAGTAAAAGCTGTGGTTGGCGTTCTCGTGCACCATCACAAACACCTCTCTGCACCCCGAGGTGTTGCAGGTTCCCTCCCAGCAGCCTCTGTTGTGGGTGAGAGGGTAAGTGTTCTCAGCCTGAACCAGCACCTTGGCTATGCCGTGCATTTTGAGTTTGAACTGGACGTTGCGGTTGGCGGGCAGCAGGCCCGACAGCGGCTCCAGGATTTCGTAGTCTTCCATCCACTTGCTGTAGCTCTGGGGGAAGGCCGGCCACTTCACCTCCGTGTTCAGGCACGTGATGAGGTAGTTGAAGATGTAGTCATAGTTACCGGGATCCGACCTCTTCTTGGAGTAGATTTTCAGCACGAAGTTCCCGGCGTGCGGGAGGTGGAGCTTGAGCTCGATCTGGTTCCCGCGGCGGATTTGCATGATGTGCCGCCGGCCCATGTCCTCGGCGAGGCCGCTGCCGTCGGCGTGCAGGGAGCTCAGCACGCTGATGTCCTTGCCCAGGGTGAAGGTGAGGGAGCAGCGCCCGTCGTTGGTGTGGATGGTGGGCTCGCGGTGGGACGGCCGCAGGAAGCCCTGGCGCTCCGAGAACCAGCTGGGTCCCACGGGCTGGT